AAGAGGAAAAGGAAGGCATATAAAGGTGTGAAGGATGTAATGGAAGATGATAATGACAAAGGTTCCTAGTAAGGAAAGGGGAACTATATATGAGTGTATATATATATATATTTCATTTTATATAATAAGTATAAAATTAACCAAATCACCAGGCCTTGGTGATAAAAGGCACTAATTCAGCTATAGCAATGTTAAAACAAGTCCTACTGAAAAAGAAGCATTTTATTTCATAGCACTCAAATGTAAATGTTAAGAAGATACCTATTAAAATATTTATAAATTCCCATGAAAGAGCATTGAAGTAAGGATAAAATATATTGTCATAGTAGAAATGGATAAGGACACTAGTCTTGAGTGATGGACTAAGGGATTAGGTAGGCTCATACTATTGGAGTCCCTGGGGATTTTCATTCGTCCATCTGAGGTGGAGTCTAGGAATATGTTTTTCTAACAGGACCCATGGATGATTCTGGAATGCAACCAGATTTAGGAACCAGTTATAGGAACTTTATCTTCTACCACCAGCATCTTCCTCAGCTGAGACTGCTTTTTTGTTTGTTTTCTACAAAGTAAACTTGTCAACATTGGTGAAAAGAAAAAGAAATATACAAAAATGTGGTAGTGGGGAGATAATTTTAACCATCTGCACATCTCTTAATGTCTTTTTTAAAAAATGGCATTTGATAAATTATGTTCTCCTCTGTCAAAAAATAAAGAAAATGGTGAATTGCTACTCTGAACTAACTCTGGCCAACAAAGAAGTGATTACTGATGAGGAGGTGACCAAAGCATTTGGAAAGAGTCTTCAATTTTCTCTGGAGCCTGTGATGAGTAAAATCTTCAATCATGGGTCTAAGGTTCAAAGGCAGACTTCAAAGGGAGTTACAAATTCATGGACTAAAAAAAAAGTTTTAAAGGAAAAAGAAAAGCAAGGACAAAAGGACTTAAGATTCAAAAACTCTCAGTCTTAAAAAAAATCCAGTCCACAAAATCAGGCCTTCTAAAGCAATAGAAGAGGAAACCTCCAAATGAGTCAATTTAAATCATAGGAGATAGCTTTCTCATCATTTTATGAGTACCCATACAAAATAGCTAAACACTAGGAAATGACACATTTCAGGGGGAGGGAAGAACATCTACTTTTAAAGCTATGCCTATTACAAAGGAGAGATGAAAATAGGATGCTTGCAGAAGAGAGTATAACATAATGGAGGAGAAATATTTAAAGCTGGAAGAAGAACTACTGAAATCCAATTAGAATATTAGCCAGTCAGTTCCTTTCAATGAACTTTTCCAAGTTCAACTGCATTACATAACACAAGGTGAAAGGTGTGATCACTATAGGACAGGTGCTATAATCTTGCTAAGTGTCCAGCTGTTTAAGGAATGTTTTAGCATGCCAGTCAATATCGCATGTCTGCTCAAAGATGCCCCCTCAGCCCACAGACACGACCTGAGCAGCACTGACCAGAAGGCTGGATGGAGCTCAATGACAGGGCCAGTCGCATTGCCCATTCTTACGCAAGTTGGCTCCATCCTTTCAACATAAAGTTTAAAAACATGAGCCACCTGTGCTTTTGATTTGTCATCAAGGCAAGGTCTAGTTGGTTGTAGGTACTTTCAGTCAAAGGTTATACAAAGTCATGGAGGGGTGATCATGTTGAAGCTAAAATTGTGATGTAGAAACCGAGAGAGTGCTTTCAGGGAGAAAAATGAAAACAGAGTACAGATATTCAGGGAAAAGCTACAAAAAAAGAGAAATAGTATGACTCCACTGAACTTGGGTCCTGCCCTCTCCTGGCCTTTCGTTTTATTGTTAATCATGAGGTTTCATACTTTCCTCAGAGAAACAGCCCCTTCACAAATACCAATATTTTCTACAGGGTTTAGTGTGAATATGAACTGGCAACCAAGAGTACAAAGCAGAACAATAAAATACAGGACTGTCAAAGGTCTGAGGGAAAATGTTTCAATTTTCAAAACATGGAAAAGATTTATTCCAAAATCTCACATACTAGTAAAATTGACAGCAACTTCTGAAAAAAAAATCTGTATCAGACTCGGTGTAATTTGTCAGCATGTAGAACAGAAAGAGGTAGTAATAAACTACCACTGCTTATCTACGAACACAAACTTCTAAAATAACAAACTTCTTTGTGACAGTGTCACTAAAATGGTAAATCCAAGGGTTCCATGGGAGCTTCCTCATATTGCTTCTGAGGGTGACAGAAAATTGTGACAGATTTTTGAGATAAAGGAAATATGATGTTTGGGCTAAGAGAATCATTCCGTAGCCACAGTGCTTGGTAGAAAACCTGGTCTTGCCACCTAGGATCTTTATGACTGTGGAAAACACACATTTGTCTCAATCATTGTAAATGAGGATAATATTATTTCCTACAATACTGACTGAGAATTTCATAGCTGCTGTGAGAACTGCCTAGAAAATAAGAGTGTTCCATGGAGATGAGCTCTTATTACCAAGTTTTTTGGATAATTTTATCCCAAAAATATTCAGTAATGGTTTTGTGTTAAACAAAAAAACCTAATATTTTAGAGTATTTGAAACAGGTGCTTTTTTGAAATTCTTGTCAATTATTTTTGAATAAGTAGTAGTTCCATGGCCAATAAATCTATATACAAGTGAATAATGTTCTGAATACCAGAGAAAAAAAGATTCAGAGGGATCATAAGCTAGAATTCTCAGACCAGTTATCAAATATAACATTCTAATAATAATTTCCATATTTAGTTTATATATTTTTATTTATATAAGCTAAGGCTATGAGGCCAATATAAGTGATGTAAAGGTGCACTGGGTATTCAATTTATGACTTGACCAACAATACATTAATTTAACCTCAGCCTGCAATACCAGAAATATATGAGTGAGTTAATACAATTACAGCATAGGCAACTATGGCCAGGTTAGTCAGAGATTTGCATTCAATTCTGTGGCCACATAAGAAAATATGCAGAGGAGCATATTTCACGAGAGCTATCACTTGAGGAGTTGTTGGAAAGATGATTGCTGAGGATTAGACAAGAGGTCATAACTTATTTAATTCTGAGACCTTGGACAGTAAAATTATAGACTTAATCTACACTTACTCTCTTGCTTTCATGTCTTCAGACTACAGTCCTGTTCTTGCGCTTACCATTCCTTAAACACTGCTCTGCCCAGAGTCAAACTGGTAATTGAAGAAGACTTCTCAACTCTGACCTTTTTTGATCCCTGGTAATACCTCACTTTGTTGATGTCTGTCACCTTCTACTAGACTTTCTTTCCTTTGCTTCCAAGGTAGAATAACCTAGTCATGTTTCTTCCTTCCTCTTCTCAACATGTTAATCTAATACATGCTCTGTGATGATTTCTCCCCAATTCATCACTTATGTTTGTAAGAAACTTCACCTATTAGAAACCTCTTCTACATGGAAACTCAGATTCAACAAAGGAAAGTGAGAAAATGAAATAAAATTGTAAAAGAAAGAATTCTTGAGGTTGACTTTCCATAATGGCGTATCCAATAAATATATTCTCACTCCTATAAGCCAATGATCATTTCGCTCATTGAATATTTTATTTCCAAATCTGACTCATTTTGTTTTACCCAGAGGAAAAGATAATAAAGGATAGGTTAGATATCCAATGGGATCCTACCAACCTACAAAGCTAGGTATAATCTTTGACAAATTTCTAATCAAATTCTTTCACAGTTTCTGTTTCATTAATTCAAAATAACTCAGCTCTGTCTGCAATAATAGTCACTCAGTTGGGACTTGGCAGAGATATTTGAAATAAACCCTTAAACTAGAAGTTATTAAAATAATGGAAAATGGATTTTGTGTTTCTGGCTTTTCTCTCCTTAAATAGTTATATGTGCTCTTAAAATTTCTATCATAGACCGATCATGGCAGTTATTACTCTTGTCTTGCCCCTTGGCTTACAGAAATGGAAAAAAAAAACCTCCTCCCTCTGGCTCAGTATCATTCTTTGGAAGGCTTTGCTGAACTTGTTTCTCATTCTGTGTTTTCGCTGTTTTTACCATCAGTGTTGCACAAGATTGACTGTGTGCCTGTAATATCCTCTACCAAGGACTTCTAATTAGCTGCTCTGCAGTTGCTAAAACATGTATTACTTTTGATAGTTTTCAAACAGCTCCAAAAATTATCTGATGGAACTTAAAGTTACAATCTTTAAGTCAGTACAAAGAGGTAGAGTCCAGTCTTTGGAAGCCTTTCATCTCATTTCCCCCCTCATTCTACCAAAGCTTTCTTTAAAGTCCAGTTCAAAAGTTTCCTCCTCTGCAGATCTTTGTGTTTTATCAAAACACTCTTATAGTGCTGAGCATATTGTTATATATGCAACACTTTGAAAGTCTATTTCAATGTATGTTCAGGATGGAAAAACTGCAGAATATGTAGAAATTACATAAAATAACTGAGAATTTGGCTCTTTCTCAATAATCAATAGCTAGCAATACACTGATACTATAAATAATTTTGACACTCAATTTAACCTAAACTTATTGAGCTCCTATAAAATTCAAACTCTATAATCAATGCCTGGGTTACAAAGTAAATAGGAAACCATCCTCACCTTCTAAAAGCTCATTGTCTATTGGGACATGTGGACATAAAAATGCGATGTTTGTGATATGCACAGAGGACTTTATATAAAACATTTTAGAAAATTATTTACAACAATAGAGGTTACTCTTATGCTTCTGCATTATTTAAATAACATGAAGTCAATCACTCTAGAAGCTACAATGAAACGTCAAAACATAGTTATTAGTATATTTAATTTATGATACTTAATATTAAGATAATGTATCAGAGAGCTATGAAATATACCTGTTCAAATATCATGGAGTGTACATATTAGAGATATGCAGGGAAAATTATGAATTCAGTTATAAAAAGAATGATGACTTCTAGTTTACCTCGCTGAACTTGAGCAGAGTATGCAGGGGTTTATTTAGCTTCAAAATACATACCTCTAAATAGTCTGTGGAGCAAGTTGTGTGATTTTCCAAGTTAAATGCCAAAAATGTGAAATTCACAGTGTTTCCAGTTGTTGCTTGAATCGTCCAATTGCAACGCTCATTGGTAGAATAGGGGTCTGGGAAATGTATACTCTCCAAGATGCCATAAGTTTGATTCACAATTACCACATTCCTGCATGCTGGAAAAATAATGATGATTATTAAGAACTACCATATATATTTTAATTACCCCAAAAGGTCTGTGAGATTTTCCTTTAAGAAACATCTGGATTAAAAAGACACAAAAACACTGATTGAAAAAGATACTTGTACCTCCATGTTTATTGCTGCTTTATTTACAATTGGAAAAACATGGAAGCAGCCCAAATGCCCAAAAGTAGATGACTGGATTAGAAAGATGTGGTA